CAGCTCAAAAACAAATTAAAATAAGAGACAAATGCACTTTAAATCACACCTGAATATATCCTTGTCTATCTGAGTCAGAGCCAGCGCTCATTAAACCTGGAGGATCTCACACTCTCACCTGCACCTTCTCTGGAATTGATGTTGGCAGTGCAGATATATCCTGGATTAGACAGGCTCCCGGAAAAGGGCTTGAATGGATCTCACATATTTCAGCTCCAAGTGGCAGCTTTAAATATTACTCTCAGTCTGTTAAAGGAAGATTCACCATCTCCAGAGAAAACAGTAAGAAGCAGGTGTATCTGCACATGAGCAGCCTGAAGACAGAAGACACTGCTGTTTATTACTGTGCACGACGGCCACACTGATACAAGACACTACAGTGCTGCACAAAAGCAGGATGCAGGTTGCTGAGATCTTTAAAAAAGACCTGTTTTTTTTCAAACGTTTGCAATTTCTATGTATGATATGAGTCTCAGATCAGGCCAGAACTAAAGGCTAAGCATATAAAGAACTGATGTGTGTGTTTGATTTAATGTGTGCATCTGTGTGTCTCAACACATAACGCTCCCACCACCATGCTTCACAGTAAGTATGGTCATATTTAGTTTACCGTTTTTTTCAGAATTTCAGAAAAAGGACAGCTACAAAAAAAAAAAATGAGGTTTTGGAGTGAACCAGAATTAACTGTATGTACAAATGTGGTAAGTTTAGATGCATGTACTTTTGCATGTGGTTTAAAAGTACATTGTAGCCCAGAATATTGTTAAAATTGATCATAAAACAATCTCAGTCTTTATGCATAATACTTGGAACATTATGTATAATAACTTTGTCAGGGAGCTTTTAGAGGCATGAAACTCTTCAGATGTTGGGAGACTTTCTGAAAAAATGGAAAATTTCACATCTAATGGCTGTTAAAGATTTTCTGGATGATTTTTATAATTAAAAGATATAATGCAGATATTTTGAACAACTGCTGAATTTCTCTTTTAAACATGCACCAAAATTTTATCTCATCATGAAAAAAAATGATAAATGTTTCCATAATAAACATTAATTTCAGGTTAATTACGTTCACAACCTCTCTCTGTGTAGAAGTTACCCACTGAAATTCTGAAAAACCTTTAAAAAAAAACTTTGAAATGAACACAATTATGTCCACAAAACCATATAAAATAGTTCAGTGCATAATAACACGTTTCTAATGTGTATTCATTTTAAGCGTGTCTGTGTCTTATTTTGTATAATATATGATTATTGAATATTAGAGCTCTACAGTGTTTCAGTGAAATGACTTAAAATTACTCAGACCTCTTTTAAATAAAACTTCACACTCTCTTTTCACAGATGTGTTCTGTGCTACTGAGCTCATCCAGCCAGACTCAGTGCTCATCAAACCAGCAGAGCCTTTAACCATCAGATATCAGATATTTTTAATAATCAAAATCGATGTAAACTGAAAGACAGAGCTAAACATTATGAATTTTATAATAATATTTGTAATATTTATTGGCATTTATCTGTTGAAATGTGTTTTAGGGCCTGTTTGTGTGATTTTGAGGGACGTGCAGGGAGGTTCTGAGGCTTAACATTTTTAACATTTTCTCTGCATGTTTTTAATATTTTATTATTCAAGTATTGAAATTTCCATTTTTTTCTTTCATGTTCTTTTGACTTTTTCCTTGCTTATTCCAGTGACTCTTCTTATATCTAATCTCATCAGAAGCATCTCAGGAAAAATGAGTAAGTCTTAATTAATGGCTGTGTTGACTAGAAATTAAAATTATGAAGAGTGGCCTCTGACTGTATCAAACCCTCAAAGACTGGCCTTCAGACTGAATGAACCGGTTGAGTCGTGCTGGACAGTGGCAGAAGTGTGACTGGCCCAGTGACCTATTGCCATTTGTCCACTCATAATGACTGCTTTAATTTACAATAAAAATGATCATATTATTATTAAATACATAAAAAAACATGAACAGAAATGCAATGCAAAACGTGGCATACTTGAAATTCCATTTTGAACACCAATCAAAATTCCAGTTGAAGCAATATTCATTTCTATAACTATGAGATGTTTGCTTAGCATGTCAACATCTAAAAATACTAAATAAATAAATAAATAAAAAAATAAATAAAACTCTTCCAAAATCACTCTTGAAATACTTCAGCATGATTTATTATTCAGTTGTTTTTTTTCGTTGGAAAATTGTGCTCTACAACACCCTACATGCATGTACCTCTCTGCCACACACATTTTAAACAAATACATTTATTATAACCATTCTATGAAATGAAAAAAAATACATTTATTTATAACCATTTTGTGAAATATTTTAGAGCATGGGAGCTTTTACTGGAATTAAACTCTTCAGATGTCTGGTTCCTATCACTCTCACTACCTGTGAAAAATTCTGGTTCTAAGTTTCTCTAGAAGAGAGAATTTCACACCAAACCACTCTGAACTCATCTGTTTACATGTTAGTGAATTAATGCAGACTTTCCCCTTTAAATATGCACCAAAATGCAGGTAGAATCTATTTCAGTCTGTAGGGGGCAGCCTGGGCTTATCTGACAATTACATACAGAGACAAGGTCCTAGGAAACATTCAGTTCAGGTTTAGAACATATTTTGAAAAAAGCTGAATTGAAATTTAAATTGTATGAATGAATGAATGAATTAAACCACACAAAACATTGTACTATGTTTATTCATTTCAAGCTAATTTCTCTTATGTGTCTTATTGTATCATAATTTATTATTCAGCATTAAAGCTCTACAGAGGTTCAGAGAAATGGCGTATAAACCATTATCGTGACGTTTTTGAGTAAAACTCAACACGTTCTGTTATCTAGTACAGCGCACATGAAAACCAGCTCCATTCTTAACATTCAGCCCCTTTTCATCCATATGCAAATCTCCATTTGCTCTCATAATATCAGCAGCATCTCCCTCTACAGCAGCTTCCATCACTCTAAATGCAGCACAAACATGTTCTCTTCAGCTCCACTGCTGCTGCTGGCTGCTGCCTCGTGTGAGTGTCCAACTGAAGCTGGATTTGACTTCATCTGATTTATTACTGCAAATATACAAACCTTTTCTTCTCTCTTTTCACAGATGTGTTCTGTGCTACTGAGCTCATCCAGCCAGACTCAGTGCTCATCAAACCAGCAGAGCCTTTAACCATAACCTGTACAGTATCTGGAGCTTCTATCACTGTCAGCAGTCACTGGGGAACAGGCTGGATCCGCCAACCTGCAGGAAAAGCTCTGGAATGGATCAATGCCATTTATTATGATGGAGCCATACATGCTAAAGATTCACTGAAAAGCAAGTTTAGTGTCTCTCGAGACACAACCAGAAACACAGTAACCCTACAAGGACAGAATCTGCAAGCTGAAGACACAGCTGTGTATTACTGTGCTCGAAGACTCACACTGACACAGAAAGGCCAGGATGCTGTTCAAAAACTGTTAAACCACATTTTACAACATGATCATTATTTATTGTTTATTATCCATTTATTTATATTCCCTTCAGTTGAATGAACAATAAATAAACATGTGAACATTATTAACATTCAGCACTGCATTTATATTTGTTATGTACTTTATTGTACAATCATCAGATACTTTTTTATCCAGTCAAAGTAGCCATTGTCCATCCTTCCACTGTGAGAAGACAACTCAACGCTATGGGTCTGAAAGGATGTGTAGCTGTAAAGGAGCCTCAGTGAGAAAAGGAAACAGACAAAAATGAAGAACATTTGCAAATCAAACAAAGAAGCTGCTGGTGATCTCAAAACAAAGAATCGAGTCCAGACCTCAACAACACTGAATGTGTTTGGATTATTTGGATCATGAGAACCAAAAAATGCAAACCAGCTTCTAAGACTGAACTTTGTACAGAAATATCCCTGCAGGTTTCTTTGATCTGAAATCCATCCATCCATCCATCATCTGAACCGCTTATCCTTCTGGGTCGCGGTGGGGTGCTGGAGCCTATCCCAGCTGTCATTGGGCAGAAGGCAGGATACACCCTGGACAGGTCGCCAGTCCATCGCAGGGCAGACAGACAGACATACACATTCACACCTAGGGGCAATTCAGCATGTCCAATCAGCCTGACTGCATGTCTTTGGACTGTGGGAGGAAACCGGAGTACCCGGAGGAAACCCACGCAGACACGGGGAGAACAGGCAAACTCCACACAGAAATGACTCTGGTCGCCCGGCCGGGAATCGAACCCAGGCCATTCTTGCTGTGAGGCGACAGCACTACCCACTGCGCCACCGTGCCGCCCTGATCTGAAATCGAGTCTCCCAAAAAGAATGGAAGCTGTAATAAAGGGAAAAAGTGAATAAACAAAATCCTGGAAAAAGATAAAAAAAGGATGTAAAAGTGTATTGATCAGTGCCCTCTACTCCACTTATCATTGGATACTGACCACCATTGGACCAACACTGACCATATATTATTTGAACGGTGATCCATTCTGTGCACAGCAGTGACACTGATATGGCAGTATTTGTTTGGTGATGGTATGAGCGCATCTGGAAAGACGTCACTGCTTTTTCATATTATCTCTGTATTTATCATATATTACCAGTAAAGTTAACTCAACCCAGTATGAACAGCACAAATAAACACTTCCACATTCCTCATGATCAGCACAGCATGACAAAACTACATGCTCATAGATTAATACAAACGCTGTGAGAGTACTGCAGAATAAATGACAGTGTGTGTTTGTGTGTAGTTTAATATTACATCATTATCATCTTAGTTAAATTAATATGCAAGAATACAGTGGAAGAGAATGCAAAGAAGGGGCGGGGCTATTTAGAGGAAGAATCTGGAACAAAAGACCTTTTAAACTTGCAAATGGACTTTGCAAAGTCACTGTCCTTTATATTCTCAGTCATCACTCAGTCTTTATGATATTCTGCTTGATGGTCATCACTCTGCTACCTGGAGAATGGAAGTGAAGATCTTCTGGAGTTTTATTTTACTGTCTCTCACTACAAGTAAAGATCCTGATGGGCTGATTTTCTACTGAATGTTTTCATTCTGCATTAAATATTATTTTATTTTATAAACTGGATTTTTTTTTTCTTTAGAATGTTGGAGTCAAACACTGACCCAGTCTGAAGCAGTGGTCATTTCACCTGGTGGAACTCATACACTGACCTGTACAGTGTCCGGTCTAGACTTTGATGACTACTGGATGAGCTGGATTAGACAGGCTGCTGGAAAAGGGCTTGAATGGATCTCAACCATTTCAGGTCAAGTGGCAGCACTAAAGAATACACTCAGTCTGTTAAAGGAAGATTCACCATCTCCAGAGAAAACAGTAAGAAGCAGGTGTATCTGCACATGAGCAGCCTGAAGACAGAAGACACTGCTGTTTATTACTGTGCACGATGACCACAGTGATACAAGACACTACAGTGCTGTACAAAAAAAATTCAAACTCTGAATAAAAATGACAAAACTCATCCAAGATCATCACCTCACTGGAAACAATGATTTATTATTCAGTTTTATTTGGGGACTATTTTGCCTTACAACACCCTGCATGTACCTCTCAACAACACACTTTTAAAAAAAATACATTTTAGGCCAAACTCGTATCTCAAAACTATCATAAAACAATGAATCATGAAACATCTTTACAACCACTTTGTTTACTAACTCAAAGTAAAGGACCTTTTAGAAGCTTTAACCTCTTCAGATGTCTGGTTCCTGTCACCACCACTGTGAACAACTCAGCTCTGACTCAGTAAGTTTCTCTAGAACAGGTCGTTTCACACCAAACCACTCTGAATGACTCTGTGAACATATGTATAAGTTAATGCAGACATTTTGAAAAACTGGTGAAATTCTCTTATATATACACCACAATGCAGGTAGATTCTCTGTTTCAGCCTGTAGGGGGCGGCCTGTGCACATCTAACAATTACATACAAAGATGCTCACCTATTATTCTGATTATGAAAACTGTTCAGTTGATCATGTTAAACATTCAGTCCTGGTTAAAAAATTCAGAATCTGTCTGTTTAATGTTTTGAAAAGGCTGCACTTTCATTTAAAACTTCAAACATGATATTCTATACTAATTCATTTATGTGATGGTGCTGAGCTGTCAGGGCAGCCAAAAAACATGATCAAGTTCATATTCAAACCATACAATACACGTCACTGCATTAAAAAACTTTCTAATTGATCAATTTATAAAGTGTTCTCTTATAGATTTCTTCTTTTATCAGTACTGTTAATCAATATCAAAGCTCAACAAAATTTCAGTGAAATGAGCTTTAAATCATTATGCAGCAATATTTGGAATAAAACTCAATATGTTCTGTTATCTAGCACAGCCCACATGAGAACCAGCTCCACTCCTGACATTCAGCCCCTTTTCATTCATATTCAAATCTCCATATTCCCTTTATGCTGAATTAATACTAAATAAACATTTAAACATGATTAATATTCAGCACTAAAGTTATATTTTCTATGTACATTATTGTGCAACAGTCAGAGACCACCTTCTTTTCCAGTGAAAATGGCCATTATGTTATAAGAAACAAAGCAGAAACATATATTTGACAGAAAATTACAAAAACAGTTTTGACAACTAAATATCTTTTTTCAGTATTTATTGTGTCCACTCTTTATTTTTATTACAGCTTCCAATCTTTTCAGGAGACTCACTTTCAGTTTTTCAAGGAAATCTGCAGGGATAATTTTCCACACCTCCAAAGTTCAGTCTGAGAAGTTGGTTATATTTTCTGATTCTCTGATTAACTGACTGACTCTGTTTGATGTGTAAAACCACTGAACTTGATGATGCTGAGTAGAACTTTGCTCCTACACACATTTAACATCCTCTACACTGGCTCTGAAAAACCTCACAGAAAAATGTTCTTCATTTCAGGCAGGACTTAATTCCGCTATTTCAGCCTCTAGGGGGAGCCGGTGCTTCACTCCAGATGATATCAATAATTAATTTCCTTTTATTCGGAACATGAAAAAATGTTCAGTTTGTCAGGACTCAGTTTGTGAGCATCCATCATTTCTGTCTGCTGAATGATCTGAAGATGCTGTAAGACTCAGAATATATTAGTGGAGTAATTATTCATTAAACACTGAAATGAGAGTCATCAGAGCAGAAACGGTGCTTTAAACCGATTGTGTTCTTCTATTGTGAATGAGGTCAGATGGAGCTTCACAAATAATCTCAGAGGAAATCTTTACTCCAAGTGAATCATCACTTCTCAATGCTGGTTTCTATATTCTTCTCACCTCTTTACTTGTTTGTATCCACTAGAATAAATACAGGGCAGGGCGGAGTTTACTTTTTCACTGTATGCAGCAAGAACTAAGCTATATATACTGGATGAAGCCTATAGTAACTAAATACATAATAATAAATGAAAACAGTGATAAAAATCATGAAGCATGCATGAAGTTAAAATGGTTCTACCTTTGTAAACAGTTTATTTTCTCTCGGTTCAACACTTTTAATAATATATCACTGTTGTCGGCGTTGTATCTCCATTTGTTTCAGTTTTTGACAGTTTGAAAATGCTTGCTGTCCTTTACATTGTGTGTAAAGTTCATTTTGAAAGGACTAAAAGAAAATGTCCAAAAATGACTTGGAAAAAAATCTGGTTCCATTGACTCACATTAAAAGTAAAGAAGGTTTTTTGCTTCTCCTGTAAAGTTACCATTTTGGACATGTGGTTTTGTTCTGACAACAGTGATATGTTAGCTGGACACTTTGACAGATTTTATTTATGTGGATTTTTCTCTTTTTCAGAAATGTTAGGTAGCTAACATGCTATTTTGATAGCCAGGTTGACAACTTGTCTGGATTAACTGTCTCTGCAGCCAATTGATTAAAATACTGTGTGAGTGGTTTAGTTTTTGGTCAGTATTTTGGTCACTGCAATATTTTGGTCAAACAATATTTCCCTCTTCATGCATAAGGTTTGGAAAATTTGTATAACATCTGTCAGGGAGCTTTTAGAAGCATGAAACTCTTCAGATGTTGGGAGACTTTCTGAAAAATGGAACATTTCAGATCAAATGGCTGTTAATGACCTTCTGGATGTTGCTGATATTTTAAAGATGTAATGCTGTTATTTTGAAACTGCTGAATTTCTCTTTTAAACATGCACCAAAATTTAATCTGATCATGAAATAAATTCCATAATAAACATTAATTTAAAAAAAACATAATCATATACACAAAGACATATCAAATAGTTCAGTGCATAATAACACTTTTTCTCATGTGTATTCATTTAAAGCACGTCTAACTGTGTGTCTTTTTTTGTACACGATTATTCAATATTATAGCTCATTGAATGAATCATTACTCAGTCCTCTTTTAAATAAAACTCAGCATGTTCTGTTATCTAGCACAGCCCACATGGAACCATCTCCACTCCTGACATTCAGCCCCTTTTCATTCATATGCAAATCTCCATTTGCTCTCATAATATCAGCAGCATCTCCCTCTACAGCAGCTTCCATCACTCTAAATGCAGCACAAACATGTTCTCTTCAGCTCCACTGCTGCTGCTGGCTGCTGCCTCGTGTGAGTGTCCAACTGAAGCTGGATTTGACTTCATCTGATTTATTACTGCAAATATACAAACCTTTTCTTCTCTCTTTTCACAGATGTGTTCTGTGCTACTGAGCTCATCCAGCCAGACTCAGTGCTCATCAAACCAGCAGAGCCTTTAACCATCACCTGTACAGTATCTGGAGCTTCTATCACTGACAGTGACAGTCATTTTGGAACAGCCTGGATCCGCCATCCTGCAGGAAAAGCTCTGGAATGGATCAACACCATTTTTTATGATGGAGACATACGTGCTAAAGATTCACTGAAAAGCAAGTTTAGTGTCTCTCGAGACACAACCAGAAACACCGTAACCCTACAAGGACAGAATCTGCAAGCTGAAGACACAGCTGTGTATTACTGTGCTCACCGTGCATCACAGTGCTGTAAGAGACCAGCTGAGACATACAAAAACTCACTCACACCACAGCTTTCATTCAAACACAGGACAAAGCATTGATACAGACCATGGTAATGTGAACAAAGATTATATGTAAAAAAGTCAGTTGTAGTGTTTTATAAAACTGATAATTGTTCGGTGCCACTTTTGAAGCCATTGTTGAATATTCATTATATGCCCATCAATGACTGATTTACAGCAAATGTATTCTATATTAATGTGCCAAGACACTAAATTCCTTTGTCCTGTGAATGGACAGTTAAATTGCTCACATGGACCACCAAGTGTACTGATAGATGAAGTAAGAGCCTGATTTTGTTTAAACTGAGAAGTTCACGCATTTTCTTAATGACTAGGCTTTTCTATATTTCTGCATGTTAAAGAAATAGAAAGTGAAGAATGTTATTTGAATGTCTTACATGCTTCAAATGTTTATGTTTTAGGTCTGAGGTATTAAAGCAAGTGTGGGAAAGTGCACGTTTAGCACCCAACACAATCCAGGAAATCACACTGAGATGCTAGTTAAAGGCACTGTTGTGATGATCTATTTTGCCAAAACTACCCTAAACAGATTCTACATTAACTGTCTCTACTCTCTGATATTTTCATTTTTAAACAATAAATTAAAAAGTGATTATTAAAGATTACTGCATTATAATTTGAATGAATATGATTGAAAGTTTGTGTCCTTCAGCTGTCTATATATGGCAACAATAATATATTCTAATTGAACTTGGAAGAATTGTTTATTGCAATTATTAACTATGCATCAAATATTTCCTTGAATAATGTTGCCACAATTGTCTAAAAGGCCCCACTGGCCCAACGACAGCTAACTGTGGCTAGTGTAGGTTTAGGCTGACCCATACAAAACCCATACATGCCCTGCTTGGACTGCCTGGACATCCCCACAGAAAACTCTCACTTGGTCAGTGCTGAGTTAGAGCTGCCTCTGCAAAAAGTTCAGTATCTACGTAATCAGTTTTATTAGCATCAGTGAGCCTATGGGTAGGTTTGTTCCAAAATCGAGACTGCTGATTGGCTGTCTTAACTACATTCTTCATGCATTGCATTCACATCAGCTCTACCTGATTACAGCACTTACTTTCAGTTTGTTATTTAGAAGGTATTTGACAAAAAGTTCAGGAACATTGATGTCAAGATGTCGTTATGAAAAACTGGGCTGACAGTCATAACTAGCTAAAACAAAACATTCAATATTTTATTGAGTTTAAATATTTTTTTATTTATTTTTCCATTTTTAAATTACTTGCTCTTATGTTGGTACCATTTTCTGTGCACTAGTACCAACAAGTAGGCCACTTAATTGGTCTTCAAGCTTTCATTCTTCAAGAGTTAGACTCACTAAACTCAATGTGTTCAGTGAACAAAACC